ATTGCTTGACCTCATATACATAAAATATATATATATATATTAGAGTATAATATAATATAATATATATATATATATATATATATATATATATATATATATATATATATATATATATATATATATGAAATATATATATATATATATATATATATATATTATGTATATATATATATATATATATATATATATATATATATATTATAATATATATATATATATATATATATATATATATATGGGGAATATATATATATATATATATATATATATATGTAAATATATAATATATATATATATATATATTATGTAAATATATATATATATATATATATATATATATATTATGTAAAAATATATATATATTTATGTAAATATATATATATATATATATTATATATATATATATATATATAAATATATATATATATATATATATATATATATATATTATGTAAAATATATATATATATATTATGTAAATATATATATATATATATATATATTATGTAAATATATATATATATATAAATTATGTAAATATATATATATATATATATATATGTTTGTTGCCATATATGTTAACATAATTAGGACTGAACAACGTATATAGAGGCTATAAATATAATACATATTATGAAATGAAATGAAGAAATACATATAATGAAATTAAATTGTTTTAAGTTGCTTGTATATTTATTGCCAGTGATGTCATTGGCTTATAGTAGATGAGATGACGAAGCATAAGATCTTGTCTCTCTTGTAGTACTCGGAAGCAGCAACAAATCTGGGGTAGAAAGAAAGAAAAACAAACGTAATCTTGTTTATCTTTTTTTTTTATCAGGAATTCACCAACTTCTCGTTTTACAAGAAAATGTCCTTAACTGTTACAGGGAAACTCAATATATACAGACATATCTACACGTTTTAAGCGACAGTCGAATGATTTAAGCCAAGCGACCGGTCAATGTTTGTCATTTTCCCCCCGCTTTTCAGAGCATTTAACAATGCCTAATTTTACATTTATGGTAATGGCTTTCCTCTTCTTCGAAGTACAGCCATCATAAGAGGTTACACTATGTTTGGGAGCCACAATGAAGGGCATAAGCAACCCTGAATCGTCGTAGGTCGGGACTGTCGTAACCCTCAGACTTACAATATATATGTTTATTCAACACCCATCTGTGGTTTATTCGGCAACTATGCTGAGCAGACCTTATTTACAGTTTGTGGGGAAGAGTGTGTAATCTAGCGTGATCAATAATTTGAACAGGACCAGCACGCTCAAGCCCTCCGCCACGATGACTTGTGACTTCGTGCTAGTATAGCTATCGACGGTCCCATAAGGGTTTCGTCTACCCAATTTCACTCACTAGGCTTGGGGCAAGCCGTGGTATGGTTTTCAGGCACTTTCCAAAGATGCCGTACGCTAGGATCGCCCCCTCCAGTCCGATAACAAATCGACCATGGTGAGATGGGAAGGCACGGGTTCGGCCGCTATCCATTACCCAACACACACACACACACACATTTTTTTTTACACACGCGTGTGCGTGCGTTTTGTTTGGAGTAATGGATAGCAGCTTGGGTTTTAGAATTTCAGAGCCGAGTTCAATTCCAGTCTAATCCAGTTACATTCACTTACGTGGTAATATCCTTGGGAAAGGTGTGAATCCTCTTCTCCTCCCCCCCAGCTATGAGTAAATAGCAGGACAGATTGGGTTCTATAGCCTTGGATGGCAACTGGTTTAGGAGAAAGACAACTCTGAATTCTAAAACCTGCGGAGGGTCCTTTGGGGACCTTGTGGCAATTAGTGCACCAGGTCTCTGTATTCGGCCCTTCAAAAAGTGTGGATGGTCCTGCACGAAACCTTCACCACTATAATCAAATCTCATGTGGTGGAAAAAGACTGTCAGTTCCCTAGAACTGATCTGCTTGACCCTCATACGTCGAATTCGACGTAAAGTCAGAATATATATATATATATATATATATATATATATATATATACTCGTTTGGAAAAAATCTTAGGTGTTTTTCTCTTGTAATTGAACAAACCAATGCACAATTGAAAATAAGGGATAAAAGAGAAAGAATTAAGAACATGAAATTGAGGCCATTTTGAATCGCCCAGAATCCAAGCTCAGAGTCCAAAAAAAAAAACCTCCAAAACGAATAAAGCAAAAAGTAAGTAAAGTAAAGTTATCAATAAGCTAGAGTAAAGAGGTGAAAACCAAATAAGAATGAAAAAAGTTAATCTTCATTTGTAAGTTTTTTGATATACGGATCGTCAAAATCCTGACGATCCGCATAGGTGAAACCTAGGTAGGTTTGCCAACGGTTTTTAGGTTCATATATATATATATATATATAGTAGGCCAATGAAAAAATTTGGGAGATAAAAGTAATAATAGTAAGATTAATCATATTCATTGTATATTAGTAGGCATTTTGATCAAATAGAAGCATGGCGACAAAAAGTGTTAAAAATTGGAATTTTCGGACACGTCTGTGTCCTTTATTAACGAGAGAATACTAATAGTGGGTTAGTGTTTTTTCTACATCTTCCACATCAAGCCATCCTCAACTCTAATCGTGGCAAAAAATTATTAGATTTCTTCAGTAACACATGCGCCTCAAAAACAATATTTCCATTTTATTTGGCTTGTATCTGTAAACAAAAAAATCGCTATTCTCCAAAAATTGTTAATTCAGTATTCACCCACAGAAAAAGTAAAATTACCACCCCAAAAACTATATTTCGATTTTAAATAATCCACAAAGGGTTGATAAACCGTAAAAACAAACAGCCAATTTAGTCTTCTGTCCATATGTGAGACAAAATTATCCAGTATTTGCTGATATATAGGAACATACATCGAAGTTCAGCGATCTTTTCTTTGTTTCTAACTAAATTTTTCGCTTTCTTAATACTTTGCTTCACTTATGGAAGGCATCTTTAGTTATTCCATTGCGTGTTTTGGGGCTACGTTTTCCATCATCTGTTGAAACACGTCCCAACAATCATGAAAGCTTGGATACAACACTGGGGACGCGAGACACTTATTATCATTGTACATGTGGAAAACGTATTCTCCAACAAAGGCTATAGAATAGAGTTTGTCCTGCTATTTAACCCATAGCTAGGGGATCTTTTGGATCTATATACTACTTTTTAGGATACTTGCGCGTAAAAGAAAGTAACTAACTCGACTTGAATTCGAACTTGACTCTCCGATTTCTCATTCTGCTATACATTACACCAGCCGCGCATCTACAACCTTTCCATGTAGAAAATAACTTTAAAAGAATGGCCTTATTTTAACCAAATTCTACTAAAAACTAAAATTTCAAGCTGTTTTTTTTTGTAATTTATGGATTGTGTATAATGTTCTATCGCTGTGAAATATTCATCACTGAAATATGTGCATTGATAAAGGACGAGATTATGTTGAAAAATAAATATTTGTTGTGGGATGTAAGTGAATTTTCTTTCACACCATGAGGCTACGGACTTATTGATGTATCCAAATTAATGTGACTGTGTACAATTTGTGTGTTGGCAGGTACGTTGACAAAACTATCCCCATTCACACCGCAGTAATCGAAAAAGGGGGGTGTTACAATGTGCCATCACCAGCCTGACCACTTATAAAAACGAATAGCTGTTTTCAAAAGTCAGAGCGTAGGGAGCGAAAACGCATACTGACTGGTATAAGAGGTTTGTAACAATGTGCATGGGGTAGGGTTAACGAGAGGCTGGAAAAGGCCAGTCCTGTTAAACACACACACACAAAACAAACAAAAAAACAGGAAGAGCTGGTTTTAATTTAAGAAAAAACTGTTAATTTAAGCAAATCCTCGTTTTTGCCTTCTTCAAAGATGGATTGGTTTTTTCAACGCGAGTCATCATGTAAAACCAGTTTAATGCAAACGGGAGCCTTAAACGATCGTGTGGTGGAGTCGGGGTAGCAATGGGAAAATACAGTTCGGAGGGAGGAACCTTTCCCATTGTTAGCCGAGCCTGACTTTGCAATGTTAATTAAGACTCTATTTTAGAAAGACGAGGGGGCCAAGGGTTGGTATTTCATCCGACCCACTGAATGGGGCCATTTCTGCTCCCTTTTCAAAGCGATCATCTTCTACAAACAGACCTGAAACCTCATATGAGTGTGTGCCTATCTAAATTCAATGCCGTTCTCTCGATGAAAGACTAAAGTGGACACCATGACAATAGATCTTGTAGTAAGAATAAGGAAAGTCGCGACAATTAGAGAAAGGTACCTGTCAAGGTTGAAAATGGGTTGAATAGCTTGTTACAGATATTATTGCCTGGGCGGTAACTATGGGACAGTGGTTTGATAGGGCCTAAGTAGAATTATATTCACTGCAATCAATAGATTTTAAAAGTATACGGGCGGTTTTTGCGACGTCAGGATCAACATTGTTAATACAGCTCAATGTAATTTGAGGTGAGGTAAAGCGTTAGAATCTAGAGAAGAGACGGTGAGAGTAAAAAAAAAAAAAAGAGAAGAAAATGCAAGTGAAATAGAAGAGGTGGAGGGAAAGGAAAAGAAAATGAGAGAAAGGAAGTGGAAATAAATGAGAAGAAGGCGGCAAGAAAGAAGAAGAATGTAATGAAAACAGAAGAAAAAAAAAGCATGAAAGAGGTTTAGAAAAGAAAGAGAAGCGGTTATGAAGAGAATGGAGAATAAAGAGAGGAATGTTGTAAAAGGAAAGAGAGGAGCGTACTGAGTAGTTATAAGGAAGGAGGAGGAGAGAAAATAAGGAAGGAGGAAGAGGAAGGTTGCATGGAAGAGATGGATAAAAAAAGGAGGGAAGAGAGGAGGAGGAAGGGAAATATAAGAGAGGTGGAGAAAGGGTAACAAGAGAGGAGAAGGAGGAGGAAAAAAGAGAGAAGAGAGGAGGAGGAGAGAAATATAAGAGAGGAGGAGGAGGAGGAGGAAATATAAGAGAGGAAGAGGAGGAGGAGGAGGATATGTTAATAGAGGAGGAGGAGGAGGGAATATAAGAGAGGAGGAGGAGGAGGGAATATAAGAGAGGAGGAGGAGGAGGGAATATGAGGAGGAGGAGGAGATGACAAGAGCAGAAAGAAGAAGAAGAAAGGGGAGGAGGAAGAAAAAAGAAGATGAGCAGAGGAAAAAAAAGACGACGTCAGCAAGACGGGTAAATATAATGAGGAAAAAGAAATCCAGTGAAAAAAGGAATAAAAAATAAAAAAAATGAAGAGAAAAAGAATAGAAGATGAAAAAAGGGAAGGAAATGAATCAAATGAAAAAGAAAACAGGAGAGTAAGAAGAAAAAAGGATAAAACTAAAGGGAAGAAAAAGAAAGAAAGAAAATAGAGAAGCGATAGACCAAGAGTATGTATAGCGATGAAAAAGAAAAAGAAGACAAGAAAAAGAACGAACAAATTTAAAAAAAAAAATGAAGAAGAAGAAAGAAAAATAACGTGAAAAAGAGAAGTGAAAAGTAAAGAAAGAGAACAGAAGTAGAAGAAGAAAAAGAAGAAAAGAAAAAGAAGAAAAGAAAAAGAAGAAAAGAAAAAGAAGAAAAGAAAAAGAAAATATGAAATCAAAGAAGAGCAAGAGGAAGAAAAAGAAGAGAAGGAAGAAAAGTAGAGAGGGTAGAATAGGAAGACAAGGATGAAAAAGAAGCTGCCTATGTGACGAAAAAGAAGAACAAATGAAGAAAGAGGAGAAAAGAAAAAAAGAAAAGAAAAAAAGAAGAGTAAGAAAATAAAAAGAATAGAAGAAGAAATGGATAGGATAAAATAGTAAAAGCACAAAGGGGGAGAAGAGGAAATAGAAAAGGAGAAAAAAGATAAAACAGAAGAAAGCAAGGAAAAGGAAGAGAAGAAAGAAAAAAAGGATAAAATAGAAAAGTAGAAAAGAATGAGGAGAGGAAAAAAGAGAAAGGAAGTAAGGTGAATGGAAGAAGAAAAAGGGAAAGGTTAAAACAGAATAATAAGAAAAAAAAGAAGAGAAAAAAGAAAAAGAAAAGAAAAAAGAAGAGAAAGAAAAAAGAAGAGAAAGAAAAAAGAAGAGAAAGAAAGGAAAAGGAAGGGAAGAAAAAGAAGAATGAACAGAAAGAAAAATGTCCGAAGATTTTAAAATGTTGATAAAACTGAAGAAGAAGAAGAAGAAAACAAAATTAAAACTAAAAAAGAAAACGAAAGAGAGAAATAAGAAAGAAAAAAGCAGAAAGAAAAAAAGCAAAAAGCAAAAAGAAATCAATTTAAAATAGAAAATTCAGAATACAACGCCATTTTTTTTCTCTCTCTCTCTCTCTTTCTTCTTGCACGTCATCTTTGTAGACCCTCCCGCAATACAGTGGACATCTCATTACCCTAAACGGGTTTCTTATTGTTGCTCGTCTCTCGCGTCTGTTCGTAAGAGGAGACGGCCGTCCATTGTCATTGGTGGTCCATGTTGATGGCTCTTCAAAAACAAAAGACGCCATTCACTTCAGCATAGCTCTTCAGGAAGAACAACCACTTCTCCGTTCACAAACAAATCAGAAATGGAGCTACACCTTATTTCTCTTTCTCAATGATGGATAATTGTCACCTCGTTTCTGGTTGTCTCTGCCCACGTTAGGCCCTGTCATAATGAACGGCAACATATCTTTCCTCTTGATTGGTTGGATCTTGGACGCTGTACATCACCACGGCGCTGAGAACATTTTTCCTCCTTCCTTTGCGTGCTTTCGGATTGGCCGATTAACTTGCGTTTCTAGCCCAATCATTTGTCGATAAGAATTGCTAATGGGCATTTAGGAATGTGTGCATTCTTTTGCGTTTATCAGAATTTGTTGGACAAATAATATTATTATACCAGCAAGGGTATTTGACGATGCTGGGGACAGATATTAACCGCCAACACCTCTCAGTACAATTTATCAAAGGTAGTGATGAGAATATCCTTAGATTAATAAACAATATTGACGGCCCAAAATATACTAATCTATCTCTGCATGTTTATCTATCTTTCTATCTATCTATCTATCTATCTATCTCTGCATGTTTATCTATCTATCTATCTATCTATCTCTGCATTTATCAAAGGTAGTGATGAGAATATCCTTAGATTAATAAACAATATTGACGGCCCAAAATATACTAATCTATCTATCTCTGCATGTTTATCTATCTTTCTATCTATCTATCTATCTCTGCATGTTTATCTATCTATCTATCTATCTGTCTCTGCATTTATCAAAGGTAGTGATGAGAATATCCTTAGATTAATAAACAATATTGAGGGCCCAAAATATACTAATCTATCTCTGCATGTTTATCTATCTATCTATCTATCTGCATGTTTAGCTATCTATCTATCTCTGCATGTTTATCTATCTATCTATATGTCTATCTCTCTATCTATCTCTGTATGTCTATCTATCTATATTTGTGGGATTTCTTCTTTTCTTTGTGTTGATTTTATTTAACTGCGCAATATCGGATAAATGGATTTCTTTAAAACAAATTCTATCCGGAAACATAAAGAACGAAAACCTTATATATGTTATCAATTCACCCAAAGCAAGGCGATAATGCCACTAAGACGCAAAAGGCTACTGGGAGTGAAAGAGAATGAGAAGACTTTAAGAGGAACTAGAAACCCAATCCTAAATAGAGAACAAGCGATAAACGGCGTAAGAGGAAAACATATCTACACCTGTTAGATTTTGGAAATAAAAAAAGTAATGGACAATATCTTTATCTGACTTTATTCATTATGATTATAAATTTGATTTTTAGTGTCTACAGGTATTTTATTAAACAGTGAAATTAATTTAAGCCGGTTGTTATTAATTTCAATGCATAATAAATTAAAAAAAATATATATATATATATATATATATATATATATATATATATATATATATATATATATATATATATATATATATATGTGTATATATATATATATATATATATATATATATATATATATATATATATATATATATATATATAGTAATATATATATATATATATATATATGATGTGTGTGTATATATATATAGTGAGTGGGGATATATATATATGTGTATTTGGTATATATATATATATATAACCATATACCGCTGTATATAATAATGTATGTGTATATATATATATTTATATAAATATATATATATATTATAGTGTAAATAAATATATATATATATATATATAAATATATATATATATAATATATATAAATATATGTATACATATATAAATATATATTACATTCTTCAAATATGTTTATATATATATATATATATATATATATATATATAATGTGTGAATTATGTATATATATATATATATATATATATATATATATAATATGATATATGTATGTATATATATATATATATATATATATATATATATAACAGAGATAATATATATTATATATAATATATATATATTTTAATATAAATATATATATATATATTGTGTGTATATATATATATTTTGTATATATATATATATATATATATATATATATATATGTTTTGTGTGTGTGTGTGTGTGTCCGAATAAGCTCAAAAGAACATGTGAGTACAATTCATTGATCGATGAGCTTTTATTTTGAAAATAGATAATTGTCTCATTGGAATAAATTAACAAAATTTTGTATATTTTATTATTTTAATAGAATTTTTTAATAAATTCCAAATTTTCCTTCAAAAATGATATTATGTTTTATATTGTATATATACAGATGATGGATTTTGTTTTTTAGTACAATCAAAGTATTGAAACATGAAAAGTTTTTGTGTTTCGATTTTTTTCTATTTGTTTTATAACCTTTAAAAAGTAAAAAATAATAATAATAATAATTATATATATATATATATATATATATATATATATGCGCATTGCTTATTTTTTTTTTATCTCTATAAACGTTTTTTCTCTTTTTTTTTATTTTATTAGATGAAAGTTATAGATGTCACCTGACTGAAATCAATTGTATCAAATGAAACCATCCTTAAGAGAAATCATCCGTAACACATATTAATAAATTTAGATTACGCTAACATAGCTAAGGTTTTGCACAGTAGTGGCAGCGTACACAGGGGATTAAATGAAAAATGTCTTCCCCCAAGACAATGCAAGGCCACATATAGTATTTTTTAAAATGGTGGAATTTGGGGACCGGGATAAATTAGTTTTAATCCATCTTTTATGTTATATACCTGGAAAACACATCAATTATTATTACCTATATTTCGATCGCTGTCATGCTTTGATGAAGAAAACCTTTTAAAAAAAAAACAAATTATAGTGTTTGTTGACCCACTGAAGGTATATTTAGCCACCTACTACAAAATGTCTTGTTCCTCAACAGGATATCAACATAAACGGGTGGAACTCACAACTTAGACAATACCAAAAATTAGCAGGAAGAAAAATATATATTTATATATATATATATATATATATATATATATATATATATATATATAATAAAAAATGACTGACCTATCAGAATTTAATATTTTTTTTTAAAAGTCCCCAAACCATCTTGCCTCTAAGGTGACATTAATTTGGAGACCAAAAGGAATAAACATTTATTTTAATATAGAAAAATTTCTTGTTTAATTTACATTATTCGAATTTATTGTCCTCATCTTTTGTTGAAGGTTATCACAACGTTCTTCAGGTGGTTGGAATGTCGAACTGAACCCTTTATTTCGCTCATTTAAACAGGTAGACTGATACTAGTTCCATTTTCCATGTTTAATGGAGGTCGAGTTATCAAATTATCTCCTAATAATTTTCAAAATGAAAGTTCTCCAACAAAACTGGTATTGAACTCACTTTTATTTGGGTCCTGACAGGCCGTCTAAATTCTGCCTTTATCCATAAAATAAATGTGTCCTTGAAATTTAGTATTGTATTAAAATTTTTTCAGTATTCTATTGTCGCTTAGAATGAGAGATTAGCTTAATGCTTAGAAAAGAGCATGGTTTTTAAACAATTTTCAATATTTCAAAAATAAGCTCAGTTTTTTATATTAGTTTGAGTTATAAGTATTTTTTTTTTGTTTTACGAGATTTTATCTAAACATTTAATTTTAACTAAAAATTATATGTGGCATTTAAGAATAAATTTATTTATTCTAACATAGTTAAAGTTTTTTCCTTTACGGTAAAAAATTGAACACAGCGAATTTTTTCCGTTTGTTCTTTTATGAAACACAAATGTTCATCAAAAGGTTAAATAACAAAAAATATTTTCAAATCGGCCCGTCAATTCTAGCTTTTTTAAATCATATTAACTTGATTCAACTGGTTATTAACTTTTTATAATCGCTTTATATGATTTGAGAAATTTAGAATGGATTGTTTTTTAGATTTTAAAATTTGGTAAAATTTGCAAAATTTTTTTACCCAAAATATAATATAAAGCTGCTTGATGAAAATTGCAATTCCATTGCCAAATAAGAATTTTAATTTATTTCTCATTTATATATATATATTTATAAATATTAAAAAAAATACTAAAATAAAACATATGCATTGTCACATATCCAAGGTAATATATATATTTAATATATTTAAGATTTAGTAATATACTGCGATTAATCATTTTTATTCATTTTTTCTTGTGTTCGAACAAAAAAAGAAAAATACACAAATGTAAGACGAGGTTTTTTACTTAATCGCAGTTAACATTGTCTGTCGTCTTTAATGAAGCATGTATAAATGAAGGATTGCTTATTAATTACATTTCTATACATATATGTTGTGTAAATAAAACTGTGTATATATAAATATAAATATAAATATATATATATATATATATATATATATATTATTTATATATCATGTATGGACATGCATCTATGTTTATTTAATAATATGACATCACGACGACGATTCCCCCTTCCATAATAACACCAATACACGCAATCTACACCAAAAAACCCAAAATTAAAAAAAAATTATTAATCAGTTTGTCTGACAATCGCAAAAACGTGAAACCCAGGGTCACAAACTCACATCTATCCAACCAAATATATATATATTAAAATTCAGTTATAACGAAAATATATATCTAAAAAAGACAATAGGAATCAAGATCTAGGAAAACTTATCTTAGCCATGTTTCAGACAAATGAAGTTTTTCAAATCAAATATAAGATTTTGCAAAAAATTATTTATAAATAAAAAAAAAAAATCTCGTTTGTACTTTCAAATTTTTTTTATTTATGATAGTATGATATAACTAAAAGTCAAGATAAATTATACAAGATACTTTGAATTGTAATTTAATGCATAATAAACGAAAGTTAGTGACTATTGGCTTTTATTTTTTTATAAGGTAATTATAATTTTAGTTTCAGATTAATTTATATATTATATATTTTAAATAACAGAAAGTTTTGAATTTAAAGGTTTTTTTATTTAATTCGTTAACATTTTTTAAAGTCATGTCTGGGAAAAAAGTACTTCTTTTAGAAACGGAGATATTTAAAAAATAAAATAAAAATCCATATTTAAATGCTGTTTTATATTTTGGTAATCATGTTTAACAGCACTCTCAGGAATTTTCGTCTAAGTAACTTACTTTCTCTGTGGCATTTTTTTATATCAAAGTTATGGTTGAACTTATTCCAATGTATGACATATGCATTTCATAAAGTGTTGTGTATAAGTTCATTTTTGTTTTCATAGATACATCTATCTATATATAAAATTCTTTGATTTCCGTTAGTCCGTCCGTCACACCCACTAAAATAGCCATACATTGACTGATCAAAACCAAATTTGGGGGTGAAGTGCAAACAAGTAAGGAGGTATAAAGTACAGTTGGCTTTACTAGTGTATTATAGTTTATCAAAAAAATTTTCATTAATTTTTTTTTTTCTTGTTCAAACATTAATTAATATACAAGATATTCCCTCTATTTAAAAAAAAAAAACAATTTAATGATTAATATAACAAATACTTATCAATAAATCTTCTCGACAAAAAAATGAAAGAATGTAACTTCAACAATATTAATTTTTACTAAATCAATTCAACATGTTCCACAAATTGTATTGCAAAAAAGAAAAGTTTTAAAAAATTTCTATGTGTTTACCCAATGTAAAATGTTGAATAAATTTAGTTTGTTGTAAAGTTTATTTTATATTTTCCCCCTTTAAATGATTATTGTTATGGATATTAATGAAGAGTTATAATGTTGAATGTGTTGTAATTATTTTTGATATTGTTAAGATTATATATAAATTATTTTCCAAGATGTTGAAATATTAATCTACAATTTGTCTCCTTTTTTGGATATTGGAGGTTTCAAAGGTATATGTATATTTCTTCTTTAAGTAAATATTGTTCGATGTTATTAAATTTGTTGACAGATTGCATAAAACTATGCCATGTGGATATATTAATAGAGAATCATTAATTTGTCTCAAATAAGAAGAATTCGGTGGTAAAAT